AAACATTAGAAATTAGATATTTGTTTAATTTTTATTTTGTTTTTGACTGTTAAAACAAAAAAAAATTGTTGTTTGTCTCAATAAATTAAGTTACTTTAAAAATACAGTGGTTAAATGTAACAAAAAAATTCTATTGCTCTTTGTTTTAAAAAAGGTTATAAAAAATGTCAATAATTATCGATACCGAACGATAGGAAACATTATATAGTTGATCAAATTTTTTTAGCCATATCGCCCAGCCCTAATACAATATCAGGTCTATTCGAAATAAACAAACTACAGCAGAGGTGAAGTGCAGAAAAGATAACTAATAATAAATATACAGAACATACCAAAAAAAAAACCATACAAACAATTATTATTACAATTACTATTACAAATTTTCTTGTAACTTCCCGTTTTGGGGGTTTTCTGACGCTGCTGAAATCACAGTACAATTTATCAATATTTGTTTGCAATGAAAGTTCAAAACGTGTTTGAAATAGTTTCAGCCCATTAGTTCATGTAAGTGACATCACCGATTGACCCCACAGTGCAGACTTTTAGGTTAAATTAATTAGCTTATTACTTCAATTTATCTATTGACAAAGTACCAGAAAAAAAACATTTACAAACTATCAAATCCGCTCATCTACACATAAAATGTGATTAAAAGCTCAAACGTTAATTAATAAGAGCTCAAATCTATAGTTAGCTTACCTCTAATAGTTAGCCTCTATAGCTAGTTAACTGTTGTGATGCTAACGATCTTTTTGAAGACACTAAACCATTCCTGTAAAGTAAACATTCAACAGAAACGTGTCAGTTACATGTAAGAACGTTTCAGGAACGGTTGTATGTATTGTTTGTGTAATTTTAGGGACTAAATTTACCTGAAAGAAGTGAAAACAGCAGAGAGATGGACTCTCCCTACTTCTCAGCTGAGTGATACAGTGTTAACGCACCGTTTCCATGATAAAGCCGCCTTTCCACTGCACACGACATTCGGACACGACTGTCGGAATTCGCACGGAAATTTCATTATGATCGTACACGGCAACATGGGAGAGAAGCTTATCCTCGCGGTCTCAGAAAACCCCATTCTGTATGATACCCACCCTGATTTGCGGTATTGGTGAAATGAATTGAATGCCAACAATAAACAGCTATGCATATAGGACAAATGACCACCAATAATTTTGGAGGGAAAATAAAGACAACATTAAACATAATAAAATATAAAATTAAATGAATAATTTATTATTCACCAATAATCATGCATTTTTTTTTTAAGTTTTAAGTTTTAAAACAAAATAAAATGTGATAAAAAGAATTATAGTTCTCAACTTGCGCACACTGATTTGATTGGACAACTTTGGAATACATCACATCCGGTCGGCGTGTCGCATACGGTGTAGTCGCTCAAGTTCAAATATTTGAACGCATCCGAAGCTCAAATCGGATCCGAAAATTCCGCATTCGCAGATGGCCGGCACCCCACGCAGCCCCTGTACGACTCTCCATTGGAAATGAATGACTCCGCTCCAGTTCAAATGCGATTTGAATGCTCAACGCGCCCGCCCATTAAAACACATCAAAGTTAGGCATTTACATACATCATGGGCGTCGGACTCGGAACCATAGACGTGGAACCAGAGCCATAGATGGCTCTGCTCGGAACCATTGACTGAGGGTGGGACAGGACCCACCCACTTTTGAAGACCAATGATATTGGACCCACCCACTTTTACTGTCTCTAATTCAGTGAATATGTGTACTTTTCAGAGCGCCGTCTGTCAAATCCATTCCACATGACGAATGCCCTAATAAATTAAACTCCATTTAGCTACAGCCTTGAATTCCATGCTGCTGCTTCCTCCAATCCATTCCACTCGGCATTCAGAGTCCATATAAATTAAACTCCATTCCGTGTTTTCACTACTCGTGCCTGCTGCTCTCCCACCACACAGCAAAGTAAACAAAGCATCAGCATCTGCTGCTCAGATACACCTAACCCTACCTGATACTTATCAACTTTTCGATTATTTTCTTGATTTTTATTTTTATTGAAAACAAAAGCCTTTCTGATGTGATATGAGATGTAAAAAGGAAGAACGATTTCGGCAAAAGGACGCGAACTCGAGTCGCTCGCATCAAAAACACTACGCAACCCTCGTTACCACTGAAAACGTTGCTGAGCAGCCGTCTTTTGTAATGTTGTCACGGTAGTGAACGGAGGTGAAGTAAATAGCCGCTGCTAATCAGGCGGCCTATTTGCACTTTGTGTAAATAGACACTGTTAATTAAAAGTCACCACACTACAGAATATGGCATATACTCCAGTACATTTTTTTCTGGGGGATGACCAACCCACATTTATTTTGCTTCCGACGCCCATGACATAAATAGTACATAAAAGTCAAATAAAATGTTCTGAAACTTCATCATGTATTGTTTAAAGGGGTCATATGATGTTGCTAAAAAGAACATTATTTTGTGCATTTGGTGTAATGAAATGTATTTATGCGGTTTAAGGTTAGAAAAACACATTATTTTCCACATACTTTACATTATTGTTTCTCCTCTATGCCCCGCCTTTCTGAAACGCGTCGATTTTTACAAAGCTCATATATCTATATTGTTACAGACCAGTCTTTAGTCTAGGGGTCACAGAGTGGAAGTAACAAAGGTAAAACGGATGTTTAAATAAATAAACAAGCGATGAGGAGACTTATTTTCCTCTATCCCAGCTTCTATCACTTTCACTACAGACGTTATTAATAAAGGTTCACCACTAAACCCCTCAGTGTAACACTGTTCCACAAAAGCAAACCCGAATGCCTGAAATACATTTAAGAGTTTTAGGAGTTACATTTTAGAGTTTTTATTAAGGGTTTAGAAGTAAACCCAAAAATAATACCAACATGTAGCAAATATACAAATGTATTGACAATTAAACAACTTAAATAACCAAAGCGTCGGGAGAGAGCAAAGGCCAAAATAACAAACAAAAACAGTCTAACTAAGGGTTAAGCAAAAATAACTTCCCTGACAACAGAAAATAAAATTAAAGACAACAATCTTACCTCTCTCCCTAACTAAAGTAAAAACAGAAAAAAAGTGAAGTAGGGGATAAACCCAAATAAATCGGCGCCCATCTCCCTACACGGTTTTACAGAGTTAGACTCACGCCGAGTCTCCACAGTAATGCCGATGTACCCACACATTAGGTTTACATTTCACAGATTGCTTAACAGCAAAACGAAAACACAATCAAGTCGCTGGGATAGCGGATCAGGGACTCCTCCTCAGCAATGCTTCCCCAGCAAACAGGGGACGTCCCCCGGACGTTCGTGTTTAACTTGCGAATAAGCCCTACGGTAGTTTTTCCAGAGATTGCCCCTTGGAAGATTGCATGACCTGAGGTAGACTAGTTTGTGCTTAAGGAGAAAAAGAAAGCAAAGGAAGAAATTAATTTGAAAAATGTATTTAATAACCGAGTAGGAGGTAATTATAGTGAATTCATACAAATTTATACAGATGGTGCTAAAAAACCAGAGACAGGAAAAACAGGGTTTGGGGTGGCAATTCCGGGAAAAGAAATAGAAATTAGTAAAAGAACATCTAATAAATTAGGAGTATATACAGTAGAGATGATGGCAATTTTAATTGCTTTGCAATGGGTGGAAAGGGAAGGGCAGGGAAAGGTTTTGATATGCTCTGACTCTTTATCAGTTTTAGCGAGTTTAAGGTCATTCCATTCAAAAGCTCGGCAAGATATCCTGTATGAAGTGCTTCAATTAAACACAAGAATAGTTAATAAGGGATATCAGGTAAGATATATTTGGGTCCCAGTACATGTTGGGATTAGGGGGTAATGAGATGCTAAAAGGCTGGCTAAAAGGGCACTAACAAAAGAGAACATAGAAATGCAGATTGATGTAAGTAAAGCAGAGGTTAAATGCATAGTATGGGAGAAAATCAATAAAAGGTGGCAAGAGAGGTGGGAGGATACTTAAATGTAATTTTAAGTATATTTCTGAGAAGTACATAAAGCCCATTTCTGAGAAGTACATAAAAAGTAGACTAAAACTGCTGATTACAGAACCGGCATTACTATCAAAATGCATATGACAATCGCATTCGATTAATCGTGCCGCCCTAGGAGAGAAGATGCGGTGATGACTAGGTTAAGGTTGGGACATTGTTCACTGAATAAAACACTAAAGATGATTAGGGAAGCACCAGACAGGTTTGTGTGAAGAATGTCGAGAAGAGGAGTCAGTGGAGCACATAATCATGACTTGTAAGAGATATGAAACACAGAGGCAGGTAATGAAGAATAAACTAAGGGAGATTGGGGTGCAGGAGATCACATTACAAGGGTTACTAAGCACAGTAAATAGGGCACAGAGTAGAATATTGATTACTTTTTTAAGGGAATCAGGGGTTTTAGGCAGGATTTGATGTGTGATGTGTGTGTGGATATTAATGTGAGGGGACAATGTGAGTGATGTGTAAGTTTTAGTAGGAAATGGGAATAGATAACCTATTATCTGATCCACACTCCAGAGCAGTATTCTTGAGGGAAACTGTGTTAATAAATAGAATATAAAGTGTAATTGTTATTTTATTATTAATAATGTATTTTATTTTATTGTATATATTTTTTTGTGTTTTTATAAAAATTATTATTATTATTTTATATATAAATTTCTGTTAGTCACTCTGGTCCACACTCCAGTATAGTAGGTGGCGGTAATGCACCTTAACGTTGGATGCCACCCGCCATAAAACAAGAAGAAGAAGAAGAAGAAGAAGAAGAAGAGGAAGGGTTTGTTGTAACTGCACTTGTT